TGGATGTACAAAGTGTCAGAGAGCGAGAAAAACAGGTTATGAATGGGACTAACTCACCAACATCGTAACGCCCAGTTTTTCTCCCTCGGTATCAAATGTAACACTGCTCGCTTCCGGTCTGCACATTTTCCCGTCCGAAAATCGCTTCAGAGTCGTGTTGTACTGCAAAACAACACCATCTCCTCTCCTTCCATCCGTTCTAGACCCAAAGCCCATCCTAGAATCTCTTAAACAAACTCTTCCGGACGATTCGGAAGTAACAAATAGGTGTTCCATGGATGGATTGGGGTTGTATCGGACGCCGGTCACTTCGGAGGCAAGTTGGATTGTGTGTGTTGCTTTTACAGTCGTTCTCGTCCGGGTGTCGATTTCAGTTTGAGATTGAGGTTCGCGAAGGTCGTGAAGGAGGATTCGGCCTGATTCGCTTTAGATTATCGAGTTGGTTTATGATATACGTAAACAAGTAGAGATACGACTCACCTACCGCTCAGAAAGATCTCATCATTGGAAGGGTGACATGAAATATCGCGGACTGTATCCTGAGAATAGAATAGCTTAGTTGAGGCAAGTGGAGTTCATAAATCAGAACACATACACGTTCATGGAACCTCCACTTGGGGAGCTTGTCATCAAATGATAGTAGAGAGTTTGTATGCAAAGAAGAGACGTCGTATTTGTAGATCGTGAAGTCGGTGCCTCCTCTGTCCTCACCAATAACACGGTTAGATTCCAGGTAGAGTCTACATCTCAACCAGGAGTATATTGAAGTGTGCACTCACGCAAACAAGTACTTATTCCCGCTCGACCAACCCAACGTGAAAATGTTCCCTCTTGGACCAACAAACGTATGTTTTGGACCGTTTTCCTTTCTATCGACATCCTCTTGGTTAAAATCCCACACATGGATGTTGAGATCGTCTCCTCCGCTAGCGAGGAATCTTCCTCCAGAGGAAGAGAAGGCTAGAGCGTTTATGCAGGAAGTGTGAGAGTAGAGTTTACTGTACTTGGGTTTGAGATGTGATGTTAAAAGAAAGAAAGAAAAGATTCTAAATTGGGATAGAGTATGCACCTGTAATATGGGAAACCAGAGTCGAAGAGAGTCGAGTACGCCGGCATGAAGAAGAACAGCTTGCTAATTACGTCATCTTACTAGGGTATAGTCTCAATGATTCAAATGCTAAGAAATACCATCCGCTCTAGGAAAATCTACGCATCCGAGTCCGTATCAACTTGTTCGACTCCAGGCGGAACAAAGTCGCTCTCCTGAATCGGCCGCATGAAACGCTCTTTATATCTTTCTATCAAAGTCTCCCCATCAAATTCGCACAGAATCGCTTTTAAAGTCTCATAAGAGACTTTCCCTCCTAGCGTCTGCCAGTCAAAAGAAGGTTTTGGCTCGGAACTGGTACGTTTCCGCGACATCATCTCTATTTCGTACTCTTGTCTGGCAAGCCAACCACGCAAAAGGGCGGCGCGTAGGCCAAAAAGAACGTGTTTGAAACCGCTAAAGAAGGAAGTGGTCGCGATGTCTGTAGGACGCATGTAGATTGACATAAACTTCTCCAACCGGACAGCTTCTGCGCCATCGGCATACCACGAATGATACGGGAGTCTCGTTTCAGGCTCCAGCCTTTGGATCTTTGAATCGCGCTCTTCATAATGAGTGGAAACGATCAAAATGACATAGAACAAGGCCTCGAGATCATGTCTGTAATGGTGCCCTTTCTCCCAGTCCTGGTCTAGCGCATCGCAAGACATATAGGGTGTTGCACCTGTACACTTTAATGACCAAGGCCCGGGAGGAGGAGGTAACTCGGATGCGTGGTCGAAATCGTTCAGAACACCCCTAATGGTACCGTCAGCTTCGCGACGGAACATGATATTTTCCCTGCTGATATCGCGCTGAAGGATTTTTGGATGATCGATAAGCCACCTGTGGATCTGCAAGACATCGAAATACACCTGAGCATATTCCTTGGGCTTGTCAAGATCGATTAGAGGTTGAAGAACGCTTTGCACAGTAATACATAGGATGCTGTCCTTGTACAAAGGGAAGTTTGGTCTGAGCGATTTCGCAAGTCGATACTGTGGCGTGTCATTCGACAATTCATCATAGGTCTTGGACCAGAGAATCTTGGGGAGATGTTCCTTAGCCCACGCATGATCATCTCCGAGCTCGTTCGCCTTGTCAAGTGCCTTTTTCACGAATTCGTCCTCTCCTGTCCTCTCCTCCCTGTGTGTGTATATACACAACTTCACGACGACCTCTTTATCTTCCCAATCGCCCTCGACACGCGTAGCCTTGTAGACTGTGGTCCCTCGAGCGGATCCTTGCAAATCGTAGAGGCATCCTTCAAGTTCGAGCACAGTGATTTCGTCGAGGTAAAGGCTCCGACCATCAATATATTCATAGGGGTCGTTTGCTGGATTTGGTGGCAGCTCGATCCTCGGGAATTGTTTAGAGCCGGGGTCCACCTGAGTGTTTTGCTCCTGCGTCCGTTCCACATCCTCGGTCTTGCGTCGTTTAACACTGACTACTTCGTCAGCTACTTTCTGGTTCTTGTTCTTCGAATTCTCTATGTATTTCCGTTTGTCACCACGATGAGTATAAATACGAAGAAAACTCACTAGATGGTCGAGCCTTTACATTAGTCCTTTTTCTCTTCGCCATGGCGTTACTAGAGTAGTCGCAGTGGAAGTTCGTTCTTGGGATGAAGGCCTCAGAAAGATTTGACCGTTGGAATTTGTTTGACTACGAGCGTTTTTGTTCAGTCATAGGCCATTGTTCGAGTCCAAGCTCGTTAGCTCGGAGACACGGTCAAAGCGTCTTTCTGGTTAAACAATGTCCTGCCGAATTTTGGGATCTTCTCAAGTCCAATTTTACAAGAATCGTAACAGGTTTACCTTCAAGTTCATCTCAACTTTAAATCCCTCAAAGCCTCAGGAACAATCGACTTTCTTTCGCTTGGGCTACTCGGCTGTCGAAATGCAAGCCCTCTCTTTATCACCTTCGTCTTGACTATATTTAGTGCAGAATTTCGGAGTTCTCGCGACCTAGGTCAAATTGTTGGCGCTGGTGATGTCAATGGCTGTGTTGTCTGCAAAGTGTATAAATTCCTGTCATCCTCTGACTGATACATCATCTTCTTCCCAACGTTAACATGACATCTCGCGGTATCCTCGATCATCTTGATGACGATGTTCTAGCGATCATCTGCTCTACTCTGCACCTCACGGGATCGAGACCAAAGTTTGATTCGACTGGATGTCTGACTGAGGTGACAATTGGAGAAAAGGCAAGCAATTGTTCTACAATCCCGTACGCGTTTTCTTTGGCACTTTCTCTAAATGATTGCTACCAGAACCCTCTACATTCCTTATCGTTGACTTGCAAACGATTCAGAGCACACTGTCTAGCATACATTTTCCAAAATTTCGACTTGTTTTGCTACGGAAACAATCCGTGGGACCGTGCGATGAAAAGACTAACGGCTTGGAATCCTGAATACTCGCCATATGTTCGGTGAGTTTGAATTCCAGCCGCTGAAGACTGATTAATAAAATCACTTGCCTATTGCAGCGAGGTTGTTATTCACCTCAAGCCCGGAAATAAAGAAGATCCCCTTTTTGCCAGTGAATTACCAAGTTTACTGGCATATGCCTTATCAACTATGTCGACTTCTAGGCACCTCGAAAGACTTACCTTCATCATCATCAAACATTATGCCCCTCTTTTTGGTAAAGCTTTTGTTCAAGCAGGTTTTTTGCTGCCTGATGTCAAACAACTGATTGTCGGTCCTCACAATGAGTTTGTAATCAAGAACTGTCCAAGTGTGGAATACCTATCAGTAAACGGCTCTGCTTGGAATTCTGGAGTAACAAGTCTGATCCATGATCATTCTTTCAACCTCATGCAAAGCTCTAATAGTCTTTCAAGTCTCAAGTGTTTCATAATGGAAGAAAGCTGGGATGGAAGACTCCTTGATGGTACATACCTTTTTAGTTTTTTAATACTTTCTATTGAAGAGTTTCAGCTTTGTACAAAGCTATTCCGAATATCAAGGTACTTGCAGTACCAGGCATTTTGTGGAATATAACTTTTGAGGTATGTGAGATTTTAATTTCATTGAAATCAACACCAACAGATTGTGATAAACTGCAAAGGATTTTGTGGCAAAATTATCTCGCTTTCGTCAAGTTCAGATCTTATATATCTCCAATGTTTCCCGACTTAATATTGGATTTAACATTCCTCCGTGTAGCAGCATATACAGAGGTCGCAGAGGGGCTGAGTTTCTTGGGAAGCTAAAGCGAGAGCGTCAAGAAGCACAGGAACGTGCTGCAGTGGCTATCTTTAGTAAATGCCCGCAGCTTAAAGAGCTTTGGTTTTCTACCAGTGTTAAGGCTACAATAAAGGAAGGAGTAAATGTTGGGACTTTTGGAAAAGGGGAACTGGAGTGGTATAAAAATAAAGTCAATAGTATTTGGGATGAACCATTTGCCTGGTTGGGCAGCCAGCTGTGAATCAAGGTTCAAGCCAATGTCCATTAATACATGCTGTTATGGTGTCACTGATGAAGTTTAATGGTAGGACAAGTCAAGATCTTGGTGCTGTATAGAATGTAACCAGCCATAACTTTGCAGCCTAACTTGTTCATTCTTAACTTGCAGACAAGACATCAGCATTTTAGTATTCTTGACCTATTTTGGTTACCAGTTCTTGTTTTTCAGTCAACATACACTTATATATTTGATATAAATAGGAAACCTTTTTATGTGCCAAGACCATCACATATAGTCATACTTTTTCCTATGTTGCAAGGTCATAACCCTTGGTTACTTTAAATGTGTCCAGATTTGCACTGAAAGGATATTAGACCAAGTCGGGAACTGAACTTATGGCAGCAATGGTGTGTAAGTAGAGGAATCTACTCTGCATTTACTATGGCAATAAAAAATGTTACTGTACTGGAACTTGAAAAAGAACAGTCCTCTCCTCATCCATTAAGGGGGAATTGAACCCCTGGTAAGTTGATGGCAATAACCCAGGTTACCACTACCCCATTAATGCACACTTGGGATAGGAAGCACAAGGGCCAAGTGGCTGGAAGCCTGAGGGGTCTTATCAGCTCTAGCATATGATTATGTGATAGGAATGTTGTTTAAATTTGCAAAAAGGGGTGGGTCCTTGAACATTTGTTCATGACACAAGGATGATGTTGGGGGAGTGATAGGAAGGATGAAAGGACAAGTTTCATGTGTTCTGGACTGGTGTATAGATAGCTTGGACTGAGATAGTTTGAAGATGAGGTTTGGTAAGATGTATATGCAATTGAGACATCAACATTGGCAGCTGAGCAGTTTGGACTGAGAAAAAAGGGAGTAAAGACACCACAGTGGTTGCAAGGTTTACCTGTGTTTTGGAATAGAGAGAGCTGGGACAGACCTCAAAAAACGCGGGGAAACAAAATCCTGGACAATGCCGAGAATGCCGTGCGGGGTAAATAGTTTTTTTGGAATGATTATCTGCATTCCTGATTCTAACCGCCATCATGGCCAACCAGGAGAAACAAGTTCCTCGACCTTATCGCTGTCCGTATGCATTGTGTGGGAGGGCTTTTTCTCGACTAGAACATCAGGTGAGTATCTGTGTGTTGTTGCTGACATTGCTCACCGCCTCGCACAGACACGCCACATCCGCACTCACACTGGTGAAAAACCCTTTGTCTGCCACTTTCCCCCTTGCTATCAACTATTGAACAACTTACAAGTAAATGATATATCCTTGTACTTGCAAAGTGTATATTGTCTGAGTAATAGAATGTAACTGCCTTTCTTGTCTCAATCATTAATGAGGGTTGAGTATGAGTTGTGGATGAGTTTAGTATGAGTTGAATCAGATTCAGTTACATGTGAATGACTGCAACTCTTGTTCATCACCCTAGCTAGTAAAAATGATGATTTATACTCTTCAAATCTGTTTCTGGTTTCGATCAATATTGTTTCCAGCCTTTCACATATCTTACAGGGCTTGTATGTATTCATAAAGCAAGTTTCTTAGAAATTCATGGTGATATTTAGTGAATCAATCCCTTGGAATAGTATTTGAAGTAGTTAAGATCTGTAGATTTGGACAATACCTTAATAATCATGCTCTTATCAACACCTCCCCATTCTTGCTTTTCTTGATGTATCACTCATGCCTGTAGGGTCAGGATAGTGAACAGCACAGGTTGCAGGTATGGGTCTGGTGGGTATGGGTTCAGGTACAAGAATCCCAACCCGAGCCAACCCGTATCCATGAACTGGACCCGTCGCAATAAAAAAGTAGCTAGATTTAATTAATACATTCCATTTTCAATGGTCAGTTTGACTTAATGGTAAGTTTAATCTTAATTTTACTTGCCTCTGAGAGGCTTCAAGTTCAAACCAGCCATGTTGTGTGGCTCTGTAAGCCCCTGAATCCTTAAAAAGAAAGGTTAGTGGCGGGTAACCTGCCAGGACCTGGACCCATATGCAAATTTAGTAGACCTGTGAGAAAACCTGTACCTGCCACAAGGGTTGGGTTTTCACAGGTATGGGTACAGGTCAGTTCAAAAGTACCCACGGTGTACCCATGCAGTTCACTAGGTCAGGAGATAAATTTCTTGAAGGTGCTATATCTTCATTGATGACTGGGGTACTGTTGGTACACCTGTTATTGTTCTACACAGTAATGTTATTGATGTCACAAAGTACTCAAACTCTATAATAGAGTTATACTATACTAACACTCTAAGTATACTCCATTCACCAAAGGACATATACAGAGCCAAATCTAGAAACAAAATGCTTAAGTATTTTCATGTTTTCTGCATAAAATACAGCTTGATTTACACAAGTTTTTTTTAATTGGAATCTTCTTGTTCTTATCTACAAGTTAAAAAAAGATTTATGAGATTTGAGGTGTGCATCATGGATATATGAGGGAAAACTTTTTATCATAGGGGAATATAACAAAACTGGGAAGTGAAATACCCAACTTTTCCTGTTCAATGATGTCTGGGCATAACTCCAACATTACAGATGTTCTTGGAGGGCCTGTAACCTCCATCTACACCCCTTTTCAAGGGGTTTTGCCTGAGGTTTTGCACCTGTATGAGCCAAAAAAAAAACTTACCAAATGAGGCACTTTCAACAAACTTGCTCCTGAGCTCAGGGTTGCTGCTAATTCACCCTCTCAGCAGACCAAGACATGTGTAATGGATATAAATTTGCTGGGTTCCTATGCTGGTAATAGGTGTGTAGTCAACAGAAGGTAAAAACCAACTAAAACCACAAGTAGTGTGTAGTTCAGGTGTGTTCAAGTATAAAAATACTTGGAGTAGTGAGTTGTGAAAACAGCACCTTTGGAGTGAATGCCTGAGTGAAATAACTAGTACTGAAGGTAACTAGTAGAGCAGTTCTTTTAAATGTGTAGTGTTTAAAGACAAAAGTCTAAGGAAAATAGCTTTGGGTTTTTATATGACTTCAGATTATTGTAAAGCTTCAGATTGACTTCAGATAAAACTTTGCTTCATGTCAATATGAACTTCAATAGAAAATATGCTTTGGTTGTTGCTTTGCTTCAGACAAACTTTGTATTTCTTAGCTTTGCAAAAGTAATGTGTGCTCTGGACTCTTCTGTGTATTCCCCCTGAACTGGCTAGAGTACCACCAGTAACTATAGCCTTAGAAGATAATCCTGAAGCTGAGTATGTATGGGTTCAGGAATTATTAGATAAGTAAAACTGTACAGTTGCAAACCATGCTTTGGACAGTACAATGCTTCAGCATTGTTGGTTTCAACATGTCAAATATGCCATTGATTAGGTTGGGGTGTTAGAGTTGCCTTCAGAGCTAATAGTTATACCTACAGTGAATGAGTCCTTTGGAAGATACATTAATAGGTGTGTAGTTGATAGAAGGTAAAACCAACTAAAAACCACTAGTGTGTAGTTTGGGTGTGTTCAAGTATAAAAATACTTTGAGTAGTGAGTTTAGAAATAGAGCCTTTGGAGTGAATGCCTGAGTGAATAACTAGTACCAAAGGTAAGCTAGTAGGGCAGTTCTTCTGAATACAATAGTGTTTATAGACAAAAGTCTAAGGAAAATAGCTTTGGGTTTTATAACAACTTCAGATTTTTATACTGGCTTCAGATTTTTTTATACTGGCTTCGGATTTTTATACTGGCTTCAGGTTTTTGTATGACTTCAGATTGTTATAGAGCTTTGGGTTGACTTCAAATAAAACTTTGCTTTGTGTTGATATGAACTTCAATAGAAAATATGCTTTGGTTGTCGCTTTGCTTCAGACAAACTTAGCTTTGCAAAAGTAATTTGTGCTCTGGACTCTTCTGTGTATTTCCCCCTGAACCAACTAGAGTACCACTAGTAACTATAGCCTTAGGAGATAATCCCAAAGCTGAGTACGTATGGGTAACTGGCTGAACTAGCTAAGGTGCTTATGGTATTTATGGGTTCAAGAAGTATTAGATAAGTAAAACTGTACAGTTGTAGCCACACTTTGGACAATGCAATGCTTTGGCATCTTTGGTTTCAACACAAAGTCAAATATGCTGTTGGTTAGATTTGGATATTAGAGTTGCCTTTGGAACTAACAGTTACACCTGCAGTAATTGAGTCCTTTGGAAGATATGTCCTTCAGTGAATGGAGTATATGTAGAGTGCTGGTACAGCGTAGCTCTAGTATAGAGTTCAAGTATTATCCGGCATTTATAGTGTCTGGATTGTGAAGGAAACACACAAATTACTGTGTAGAATAATAACAGGCATATCAACATCCTTTGGTGAATGGAGTATACATAGAGTGCTTGTATAGCATAGCTCTAGTATAGAGTTCGAGTATTATCTGACACATCTAGACTGTGAAGGAAATGTGCAAATTACTGCATAGAGCAATAACAGGGATACTGTCCCATTTCATTCAATTCACTTGTCATGTGTCACACCCAATTTTCAAAAACCCTGGAAATAAATTTTCTCAATTTTTCCTCGAAAAAAATCAAAGAGTCACATGCATGGCAAATTGAATGAAATGGGACAGTATCACCAATAGGCAGATTACATAATGACCTTTTACCTTGCCTGTTACTGCCACGTTGTGTCTGTAGACCATACTCTTACTCTATTTCAGAATAGATATAGGTCATACAGTCATGTGTGGTTCAGGTGGGGTAGAAGTGTTACAACATGAAATATGAGTACAAAATAACATTTTCTATGGATAAATTATGTACAACTTTGAGAGAGAACCAAGGTGTTTCACTTCCCAGTTAGTTTCACATCTAGGTTTGGCTCTGTATTTAAAGGTATCTTATCACCAAAGGTGCAGTCAACAGTTCCAAAGGTGGCTCAACTGTACAGTTCTACTTAGGTAAGATTTGCTGCACATATAAATACCTAGAATCTGTAGTGCTAGTTTACTCATACACGCTTGATCAATGGGATTACATCTGAAGGTCATTGTTACCAGTGGTACTCTAGTTTGGCTCAGGGGGGAATAATAAAGAAGAGTCCAGAGCACATATTATCTTGCAAAGTTAAGAAGTTTGAAGTATTCCAAAGTGAAGTGATGTGCTGAAACAGTTTTATACCAAAGTTCATACTGATGCAAAGTGAAGTTTTACTTGAAGTCAATCTGAAGCTAGATATTTTCCTTAGACTCATTGTCTATAAATCCTCCACACTCAAAAGAGCTGTTCTGCTAGTTTACCTTTGGTACTAGTATTCTTTGAGACCTCCTACTACAAAAGCTATTTCATCCAATCACTAGCTAAAGTATTTTTATCCTTTAACACACCCAGACTACTCACTTTTTATGGTTTTGATTTGATTTTCTCTTACACCAACTACACACTTGTTATTTGGAGCCCACTGTGAGGGGTAGAGTAGTGACTAGAATCAAAAAGTTTTTCCTAGCAAACACCGTATGCAAATTAAAATATCACACAAGTAAAATATTTAAATTTTATTTTCAAAATATTACATGCATTATTGAAATATTCCATGGGTAAAATATTTTAACTCACA